CCAATAAGATTAATAGGAATTAACAGACAACGTGATCTGTAACCAATCAAAATACTAAAATCGTGTATAAAAATTTCTAAAATTTGGGTTTTTTATGAATAACCCCCAAAATTATAAAAAATTATAGATCCATAATTTTCGGCGTCCCTGCCCTAAGATCTGTCCGCGTTCGTATAGTTGATTGTGTAACGTGACCGCGTAACTAACTATGTTACAACATAATTTTACAATATATTATAATTCTTTTTACAATTCTCCAAATACTATCACCAGTGTTATAAATTCAAAAAAATTTTATTGGCGCAAACGCAAAAAAAATATGCAAAAAAAAGAAATTTATACGCGCTTTATATATACGGAGAGCGCTGATATATGCGCAAGTTTAAATCTATGTACGCTGCGCCTACTGCACGGATCCAATTTACATCACTGACTATCACAAGTAGATTATATACAAATATATAATACAATATGATTCTTATTCTTAAATATATACATTATCGATATCAAATTTTATTTATATAATATAATCTATTAAACTCATACATGAAGAATGATAACATACAAGTACGTACGTACGTAATCACTTGAGAACCGAATCTAAGAACAAAATTCATTGCTAAATTTTACATACGTATTATAATACCTATTAATTTCTTAATAAGCCCCAAAGTTCGAGTAATAAGAACAAGGACTTATTTTAAAAAATATATACAATAGAACTAAAAACCGCAACTTGGAAAATATATTAACTAATAAAGTAATCTCGAAGAGTGAAAAAAGTTTCACCATGTACGTGACTATACATATATATATTAATCAATTCTAGAATAGATCCTATCGCTATATCAAACTAATCCAAAGTTGATGTTGCATACGTCAGACTAAACCTGTGATCAAATAACAATGATGGGCGCTGTACTAAAATATTTATTTTTCGCTCCTTTTGCGATTTGATCAAGTGTAGTATGATGAATGATTTAATTCCTGTAGTCAACAAACTCCAAGATGTTTTTAACACAATTGGTAGCGACACAGTAGATCTACCACAAATCATCGTTGTTGGTTCTCAATCTTCTGGAAAGTCTTCTGTCCTTGAGAACATTGTTCAGCGGGATTTTTTACCTCGTGGTAGTGGAATTGTCACCCGTAGACCGTTAGTGCTTCAGCTCGTTAATATTCAAGATTCTGAAGATTCAAAGGCTATAGAATATGGGGAATTTTTGCACATGTCGGATCATAAGTTTACTGATTTCTCAGATATAAGAAAGGAAATTGAAGCTGAAACAGCAAGAGTTGCAGGGCAAAATAAGGGAATATCGAGGTCTCCGATTCATTTGAAAATATTTTCGCCAAATGTACTTAATTTAACTTTGGTTGATCTTCCTGGTCTAACAAAGGTAATAGGCTTCTTTATAAATAATTTTAATTAATTTTAGTCTCAACTTTA